AAAAAATTTAAAAAAAAAAGAACAAAAAAAAATTTTTTTTTAGTACTCGTATCGTAATTTTTAAGAAAGATGATATAAAGTATCACAAAAGAAAACAAGCAAATATGGTATCGTAATTCCTGAATAACGGAAAATTGCCTTAGAGGCTTACAGGTTCCCTTAGACCCCGAGCGTATAGTAATACAGCTTGATGCTTTCCCTATTTCTGGTAGATGTTTCTTTTTCTCAGAAGTTCTAGATTAAACATTTCATTATAAAGCAAGGCTGGGGTGGAATTTATTCTTCTCATTGTCGCAAATGATGTAAGTTCTAGTATGTCGAAAAAGCTATCCATTAAAAATGGGCTTGAGCTGCGACTTCCAAAGAATAATATCCTTTAAAATTTTCGTTTGGAATGTAGTTACCTGGCACAACAAAGGTGAACCCGCCTCCAAATCATCACCAAGTTGAAACCCTGTGCATGTGATTTAGCTTCTGTTTGAGATGGAGAGAAGTAGGTGCAGGGTAGCATTTGTTGTTTGAATTACGAATTACATTAAATGGTTAGATAAGCCTTGGAACAGTTTCCAGAAATAAAACTGTTAAGTCCATATATATTGTTAATATGTTTTAAATCTCCTTTAACTTCAAAGTAAATATCTAAACACAATAATATCTTCCGTCAATATTTCTTTTACATTTATCCAGTAGCCAGAGACATTGTTCAATTTACTTCTCCTTGCAGTTTGAGAGATGTGGCTACGTTACAGCACTAAGTATTAGAGAGGAAAGGGCTAAATGAATCCAGGACAACTTCTGAAGGAAGATGGCATTTACCATACATTACCTATGCATGTTTTCTCATCTGAATCAAGCCGGTGTCCATGGTTACAGGAGCAACGGGGCCCACCAACTGTATGTTCACAGTGGTGGGAACAACCACCATTGTTCTTTTCACAGCTATTGACAACTTCCAATTCAATCCTTTTCCAAAACAAGCAAAAGAGGGTTATTAGCATAACAACAGAGAAATCTGAATATATGTCCACAATGGGTACACGCTTTTGGTTGGGAAGATGACAGACTTTACTGGGAATCTGTTAACACTCTAAACTCATAAAAGTCTGAAGATTATTAAGCATTGTAAATGTCTGTACCGTATCGAAACACTAATAAATCTATAAACAATGTTCAATTGACAGAGCGATGGAGGAAGGTAACGAGTTCACCAGTGGTAATTTAAACACATCTTAAAGGGCACTTACCTCTGGAAATTCTCAGTATCTTTAGGACATAAAAAAATGTGTGTATTGAATCAATGATCAGAAAGCAGATAGGATGTCTGCCAGTTGACATTTCTGTTCTCAAGCTAATGGTATATTATTACCTGTCCTTTTTATAGTCTATGAGTACATGGAAATACTGTTAAAAATAGCACAAAACCAATGAATTAGCTGATTATATGTAACTAGTATCAAGCCAGTGTGCAAATCAGTTTGATATATATGAGAGTCACTTATGACATAAACATACTATTACTCTGAAAACCAATTTGCTGATCCCAGTATGTGCCACTAATTTGGGGCATCTGAGGGGACTTCAGCCTCAGTAGATGGATGCCAATTGTCCTGAGTGTACAGGTATTACAATCAATCATTTTCTAAATGAGAAAATGAAAAACAAAAGGATGCTTTGAATCATTGTTTAAAATAAGGAATTAGATACTTTGCTCTTTTCACCATTTGGCCTCTCTTGTTCTTGATTTGTGTAGCTTGGACATACCTCTTATGAGAGTGATTACACTGATTCATTTCCTTCCATTCTTAACTCTTGAATCCTTTGAAAGGAGAAATATGGGAAAGAATAGGACAAGGGTACTTGAGATTGTGGCATCCCTTGAAAGCCTGTATCACCATTCAAACTGCCAAGGTATCTGCTACAGTCCCTGTGCAGTCACAGCACAGAAGCCACCCTCCTGACCCCAGCCTCCAGTCTACAGCAGGCAGAGGGTGCTCCCAGAGCATCCAGTGCACATCCCTGTCACTCCTCTGTGCCTTGTATTACCAGCTCGTAACAGATGTTCAAAAATGGGTTTTGAATGATTAAATAAACAAAAGAAGGATTATGCGAATCAATTTGTTGTTGAAAATAAGAACGCCTTTGGGTTTAGAAACAGCTAGTTCAGGACCAAGTACAATTAGAAAGCTAAAGGAGAGATTGAAATAATTAAGGGAACTGATATTTTTCACAATATGTTAACATACTCTTTAGGGACACATTCCAAATTCTGGCTGCTATTCTTGTTTCTTTTTTTTTTTTTTCCCAGTGATCAATGCAGCTCTAGGACTGCTGGTGTAATTTACTTTAAATATAAATGACATTATAGCAACTTCATAAAAAGTATGGGACTAAAACTAGTGCATACTCAGATCTATAACTGGCCACCGGAAGTAAGCTGAGATTTTGTGTTTCTGATACAGATGAAAATGATGTTTAACCATCATATTTTAAAAAATATATAATGTAAAAAAAAACTTTAAAAATGATCCCTATAGTTTTTCATATGTAGCAAATAATCATTATTTACTCGATATAGTATATATGCATTAAATATGTATGGAATTTAAGTTCACTATATATTGCTTGGTAATTTGGGGGAAGTTTTATTTAACCACGCGGGATCTGGAATTTTCCACTTTCTAATCACAATATAGTGATAGTTCACTCATATTACATTTTGAGGATTTGATGTATATGCTATACAATATTTTGAGGGCCTCTGAGAAGACACTATATAAATACAAAATACTGTTGCCCTAAAACAAAGTTAAAACAATATTCACCTAAAATATACTGTTATATGAAGGACACATAATTCATTGTTAAACATCACCATGTTCTGAAAACATTTACTCCACCTACAAGTTGTGAAACAATTCAAAATACCAGTTTTCACCAAGAAAGTTTTGTAAGTCACTTAGTAAACACTGAGGTCTGGTGAGAGCTACACAAAGAACTTAGCCAAATATTCACATAAGGAAAATAAATGTAAAAATACACTTCTACCAAATGTATTCAACTCAGGGCAAATTGCTTTCCCAAGTAAATTCTACAGAAGGCCTGTACCTCATAACTCATTAGCAATAATGGCCCCCTCTTTCATGATAACTGGGAATGCACCAGTCAGATTGCAGGAGATTTTATTTCAGGCATCTGTAAAATATACTCATCTCCTAAACCTCTGGCCACATTAAAAAGCCAAAATATTAATAAGAAAGAAAAACCTATCCACATTTTTCTCTGCCTGAAAGGACTCCTCAGGGCACTGAGAGAAAGACTCACTTCAGAAGAAGCTGTATCCTAATTAGTAGTTAATTCTTCTCTCCCATCTTATTTAGTTTGCTCTTTAAAAGACAAATATCACTGTCGCGAAACTGCACTGTCTTTAAGCAGTAGAAATATACCAACAGACCTTAAGGCTACGTTGGCCACCCAGGCATTAAAGAAACATAAAATTTCATTCAGTGGAGGAGAATGAAGAATTCAGTGAAGTTAAAAATGTCTCTTCACGAGAGAGCTTAAGTAAGAACACAACATTACTTATTCTATTCATCACCATTTTTATCCTCTTCCTTGGTTAAAACTGATAAAGAGACATTTGATATATATAAATACATGATGAACTTGAAAGGGTAGAATATTTGGAACCTAAAGATCCTTGTTCAGTTTCAGTTCAGTCCCTTACTGATTTTGCATGATTGGATTTTTGGCTTCGACCTGGAATGGATGGTTTACTAACATGTAGAGAACTGGGAAGAGCATCTTTGGAACTGAGACTGGAAATCAGACATGGTACCACAATCTAGAGCTGCTCTTTGTACTGCTGGTTCCTTCTCTCCCACTAGTTCCTTTTCCCTGAGTTTTACAATGTAGTTACTAGTGTTCCATCAATACTTCATTGCAGATGTGGTGAAGGAAGACAGACTCTTCACAAAGGAGAGCCTTGGGTCCAAGAGCGCCCCTAGCCGAAAGACCTGAGACTTAGCCCTTGCGGTCCACGCTGTGGATAGTGATGCCAACCACTTTTGATGGACTCTGGACCCTTGCATCTTCAAATTAAAACAAAGGGGTTGGCCTTCTCAGCTCCCACCCGACCCTACCCCAGTGGCAAACATTCTCAGGAGCTTCTGCTTTGGCAAGATATTCAATGCAGCTCTTTTGTTCACTACTGTTGTTTAATACTTGTAAAATGCCACACATTTCCTGGGCTGCAACTGTTGCCTCTTACTATAACACTGTTTTCCATCAGCTCCCAGCTCAAAGCCAGGGTGGCAGGCACACATGAAAGATCCCACTGTTTTCACACAGCGGTGGCTACAGGGAGCGAGCCCTTCAGCACACTTGTTGAGGGCTGCAGAAAGAGATACACAGTAGTGGTGACTTCCAAGCTGGAATTAAGATTTATTTGTAAACTAAAAAATGAACTGGAAAGCATCCCCTGCCCCCTCAGCCAACATTAAGTGTAACAATAAAATATCACATAGGCTCCATATTTGCAAATAAACCAACTGCTAATGACATTAACTCTAGTGTTGGTCTTAGGCTCTTAAACACTTCTTTCTATTAGAACTTACTAATATCTGTCAATTCGAAGAAAGAGAACAGAAAACAAACAAACAATAGGCCTTTTCTATCCCCTACAGGGTGAAAGTCATTGTACTTTGTCTTTAGAAATATATATCAAATTCTTCACCGAAAATGGTATCTCTCTGATTTAAAATACACAGTGTAAGTGGTCATACACAAAGCAGATCTGGGACTGTCATCAGTAGCAATGCACAGTGGACGTTGTACCTATGATTGTCACAGGGCAGTGCCATTTAAACACTGGTGCCCCCTCTCTTTCCTGACACCGATAGTCAAGTAATATCATTTTGTAGCCCAGGTAGTCCTTGCGCCTTCCCTTTAAATGGACAGGTATCATCATCATTTTCCCAACTAGAACTTCCTCCTTATACTGGCCAGCATGTCATCCCCATTAGGACTCTTGAGACAAGTACTCCTTCTAAGGTATTTGTAAAACCCTAAGCAGGCAGTGCCTTTGGGGATAGACTTCCTAGGAATAATGCACCAGATATTGTAATAAAAATTTGAAAAAGATTTTACATAGATACATATGGGTGCATATGTATTTATCTATATATGTATGTATTTATCAATTTTCTACAAATATTGAATGAGATCTTATTCTTTACCAGATGCTGAGTAAGGTAGGTGTTATGTAAACAGAGGACCAAAACAGAAATGTTCTTTGTCAGAAAAGTATGTTAACACAATCCACCAAAAATTTTATCTTAGTTTTGGGTTAAAGAAAGAAAGAAAGAAAAAAACCTAACTTAATACTAATTTTCGTATCTAATTCTTTTGCAATTTTGCAAAGTGTTTATCAGTCCCATAAGTCAGGAAACATTTTGTATTTTCATAATTAATCCAAATAAACTGTTTCTCATTTCATGGCAAAGTCGTGATAAAAATGAAGGATTCTGTGATTTCTCAGAAGTTATTAAAACAAAGACTGTCCCACAGGAATGGCTTCATTTATCAGTTCTGGTCTTGAAGTAATTTATCACTTTCATCTTTGAATTGAAGTATGTCTGTTTTGCTATTTCTAGGAAACAGAAATATGTAACCTTGTATTTATAGAGTTTCTTTTTTTTTTCAGTTTTAATTATTCCTAACTTCTGGGAACACTCATTTGCACATACTTGCTTTTCAAAGGTTATCCCCGCCTTCTGTAGCATGTAATAAAAAACTCCCTGTGCGGTTATGGAAGGTTTGAAATATTAATTCTGAAATTAACTGCAGAATGAGAAAGAGAAAACAAAAAGCATTCATTCTGAAACCACACCAGATCATTTTTTTTGTAACTAAAAATTTCACTGCGTTTATAGTATCATAAAATACCTTTCAGAATGATCAAATAAGAATATAAATGTTCCTTTTTAAGCATAAATGAAAACACTATTCTCCTAGCTGTTCTGACTATTCAAAACTGAATTACCACAAAATTTCAAACAATTACCCAATTAATCCATCAGTTTCAACGTCCTACCTGCACAGGCCTTTTTGTCTTCAGACAGCTGGTACCCTGGATGACGGACACACCTGGCCGAGCCATTCTCACTCTGACAGATGTGGGCATATCCATTCCTACCCGTGCAGGGGTCCACCTCTGAAAGCAATTCAGCAGTGATAGTTGGCAATTCATTACCTTTAGAAAGAAATACAGAGTGGAAGTGTGGAAGAGGTAAGAGAACTAGGACCACAGGGTTTCTCATATAAAGAGGGGAAAAACTCCAGAAAGTTCTTTCCCCACTTTCAGATGAAACCAATTCAACAAAAGGCTTCCTATTTTGTGATCTGAGCTCCAAAATCTGAACAAATCCAAACGCAGATCAAAGCCAAAGAATTGGCTAACTTTACGTTTCTCAAAAGTATGTCTGCTGTGCTCTTGTACCCAAAGTTAAAGAGAGTCAGCAGGAACATCTCCATCTACCTTTGCATTTTCTCCTCCTTCTCTCTCCACCTCTTCTGCTCCTCTGAGGAGCAGTTATTCTCAGATAAACCTTTTATTGCCTCTAGATCTCCTCTGCATTTGGCTAAGCAACCTCTGTGTGAGAAGGCCAACCAGAGCGACATGGGAGATTCTTGGCTACAGCTGCCATGGAGATGGCATAGGGAAGTTCAGATTCCACCGGACTTAGCCCTGACCTCCTTCTCCTCTCACTTGCTCTTGTCTTAGTTAGTCTTAGTCATATTCTCTGGACATCCAAAGGAATGCAAGGCCATGCATCCTACCAAGGATACCTCCACACAGAGCTTATACATTGAATTGATGAGTTAAGTGATTCTGGCCTGACTCTGAATCAGCCTTGACTACATTACAGTTGTTGGGGTGCAAATTTCTACTCCTGCCTGCTCCCTCTTCCCTTTTTAAAAATAATGCACAGAATACAAAAAGCAGAACAGCGTATGAAGCTACCATATGCCCACATTCACCTGGTTTCAACCCAACCACTAACATACATTGATGCTTTCATTAGCTTATTGTAAATCCTTCCAGACTTTCTTTATGAAATATAAGTAATTTAAATGTCTGTCTGTCTGTCTATCTATCTATCTATCTATCTATCTATCTATCTATCTATCTACCTACCTATCTATCTATCAATCACAGATACAATATACATTGTTCTGCTCTTTGCTTTTATGCGGGGAGAGTCTGAATTGAATTTGTAGGTCAGTTCGGGAGAGTATTGCCATTCGAACAGTATTAAGTTATCTAATCCATGAACACAAGGTGTCTCTCCATTTATTTTAGTATCTAACTTACTTCAACAATGTTCTATAGTTTCCATTAAATAATTTTTGCACTTCTTTTGTTAAATTTGCTCCTATGTATTTTATTCTTTTTGATGCTATTGTAAACCAGAATGGCTTCTTAATTTTACTTCGAGATTTTTCATTACCAGTATATAGAAATCCAATTGATTTTTATATTTTGATCTTTTTTCCTGCAATTTAGCTGAATTTCTTTATTAGTTCTAATAGCTTTTTTTTAAAGGTGGATTCCTTACGATTTTCTTTTATAAGATCCTGTCATCTGCAAATACAGAAACCTTACGTCCTCCTTTCTAATTTGGATGGCTCCTATTTTCTTGCCTTTTTGATCTGTCTAGAACTTCAAGTACAATGTTGAATAGAAGTGGAATGAACAAATGTCCTTGTCTTATTCCTGGTTATAGGGAGAGAGCTTTCAGGATTTCTCTGTTAGGTATAATGTCATCTGTGTGTTTTCCATAGGGTCAGTTTATCAGGTTGAGGAAGTTCTCTTCTATTTCTAGTTTGTTGAGTTCTTTTATCATAAAAGGGAGTTGGATTTTGTCAAGTATTTTTGTTTTTGCACCTATCGAGAGATGGTTTTTGATACAGTATACTACATTAATTGATTTTCAGATGTTGAACCTCTCTTGATTTCCTGACATAAATCCTACTTGATCATAATGCATAATTGCTTTTATACATTGTTGGATTTGGTTTACTAGTATTTTGTTGACGCTTTTTACATCTTTATGTAAAAATATGCATAAGAAATATTGGTCTGCAGTTTTCTTTCTTGTGATATCCTTACCTGGTTTTGGTATCAGCGTATCAACTGATCTCATGGAATGAGCTGGGAATTGTTCTCTTCTATATTTTGGGATAATTTGTAAAGAATATGTATTAATTATACTTTAAATGTTTGGTATAGTTCACCACTGAAACCATCTGGACCTGAACTTTTCTTTATGGAAAGTTTTAAAATTACTAATTCTAGCCCTCTGTCTTTTTTTTTTTATTATCCCGCAGGAGGATGTGTATAGGTCACATGCAAATACTACACCATTTTATTTACTTATTTTTACCTTTTATTAAAATTGAAATCTAGTTGACATATAATATTATGTCAGTTTCAGCTGTACAACATAGTGATTTGACATTTAAATACATTATGAAATGGTCACTATGATAAGTCTAGCTTTATTTATTATATGTTTAATCAGATTTTCTATATCTTCAAAAGTCAGTTTCTGTAGTTCTTGTCATCCTAGGAATTTATTCATTTCATCTAAATTATCTAGGTTCATTGTGATACAGCTGTTCATAGTATTACTTTACACTTTTTAAAATTTCCTTGGGACCAGTAGTGAGGCCCTGCCTTCATTTATGACTTTAGTAATTTAAGTCACCTCTTTTTTTTCCTTTATCAGTCTAGCTAAGCATTTGTCAATTTTATCAATGTTTTCAAAGGACCAACTTCTGGTTTGATTTTTTCTCTTGTTTTTCTATTCTCTATGTAATTGATTTCTATTCTAATCTTTATTATCTCCTTCCTCCTTTTCTTATCTTTCCCCATCCTTTTTCTCCTTGTGTGGCTTCTGCTCAGTATCAGCTCTCCATGAAACTCTTATGTTCAAGTATACAGATTCAATCTGCCCCCCAATTTCACAAAAAATATAATTTGCTGGACCTTTTTGTTTTCGCTTGTTTTCTTGATTGTATCTGTACATTTTGTCACAGGTTAAGAAAATGATGTTGACCTACACAGCAATGTTTATACCAGAAACTTACTTTCCATATCCTCTACCACCAGCTCTTAAGACAATGGGATAGGTAACTTCTCCTCTTAACTCTAAAAAGTGAGAGGTCAATTCCACCAGATCTAAGATTGTAAGGTAGATTGCAATATTTCTTTGATATGTTCTTCTCATTAACCACCACCCCTGGAAACCTCTTCTCTAAATTTACTTAATTTCCTGTTGCTCTTCATGCCTTCCTGGTGCCCGAGGTCTCCAACTCTGAGGGGTTATCCTTCCAGAAAATGGCTACGTAGAACCTCCCTACAGCAAGCCACTGCACTGTCAAAAGTACCTTCTGTTTTTGAGACTGATTTTAACCGAAAACTTAACCCATATGGATTAGACTCTAGAAGAATCATTTAAAAAAAAAATCTCCTACAATGAAGCATTTGGCTATAAACTTGCAGTTTTATTCTTGGTCACAGACTAGAGGAGGACATTTGAAAGTAGCATGTGGGACACAAACATTATTTTCAGTCAAGATTCTAATGCTTCTTTTGTGTTTAGAGATAAAGGACAGTGACCTTTACATGGCAGCACTAAATGGGGCCTGCACAAGCATGGATCCTGACCCTGAAAGAGTAGCATGGCTGGACTTACCTTCTACCATAAACAACTAGAAAACCAGGTGAAAACACGTGACACAACAGTTTGTAAGTATCGGACAACAGAAAGCACAGGAGGTAGAACCATGGGCGATGAGAAGCAAAGCTAAATTACTGCTCTGAGTTTTGCTGGAGGACATTTCTGGATTATAGCACAAGAAAGAGAAACCAAAGGAGAGCTCAATGATCTTCCTAAATTAAAGAGGCAGATCAGAGTTCATGATCGGTAACACAAATAGAATTTGTGGAGTGTTGCAAAGGGGCTGGGGTGGCGGGAGAGTGTTGTATAGAGGAAAAAACTCCAGAAATCTATATGATGGTCCTCTTGTACCAAATGCAATTCTGTGTATACACGGAACTAAATGTAAACAAATGATCCTTTGACTAAATGTAATTCCGTGTATGCACAGGGTAAATCTCCATGAAGTAAGGTAAAGAATGGCACACTGGAAAGAAAAATTAGGGTACCTGTTAGCCAAACAATTCCCAGAGCACACAGATAGCCAGGAACCAGTTCTCAGCAGCCAGACTGAAGATACGTCATTGATTATATGGGGCATTCGGTAGAGATCCCGGAAGAGCCTGTATTTATACGTAATTTGGCATCCAGAAAACATGTGCAATACTTTTAAAGGAAAACAACAAAAGCCGGCACTCAACCATGTAAAATTTATAATGTTCTGTATCACATAAAAATTAATAAACATGTGCAAAGGGTAAGAAATTATGACCCATAACCAGGAGAAAACTCATTCAATAAAAACAGACTTAGAAATACTAGTGATGATGAAATCAGCAGATAAGGACACTAAAACAGTACTATAAATAAACCCAATATGCATGAGCATTTGAAGAAACAAAATTATTTAATAAGGATAAAAATAGAAGGTATTAAAAGTTACCAAAAGGAATTGCTAGAGAAGAAGAATACAAGATCTGAAATAAAAATTTCACTAACTGGGACTAACAGCAGATTACATCATTAGAAAATTAGAGAACCTGAAAAATGTAACAGTATAAATTATCCAAAATGAAGAACAGAAAGGAAAAAAGGGCCTAAGCAATTTAAATAAAGAAAGTGCAGGTGACCAGTAGGATAATATCAAGCAGATAATATCAAGTAATTTGAATTTTAGAAGGAGACTCTTTAGCCAAAGAACAAGGAAAGAGGCAGCCTAACAAGACAGCAAAGTTCTACTAAATAACTGCTCTGCTGTGGCCAAACGTCATTTAAAAAAAATGTAACTCCATCCCAACCCATGATACTGAAGGTTGAGTGGCGAGCACAGACTGGTATTTTTCCACCTTTCCCTGGTGTGTTATAAGAGGAAACTTTCACTACCACTCAGTGATAAGGAGGCCACTCCACCATGGTGTCCATGAAAGCCACATGGGAACAGTAAGACGGCACATTTATACCTCCTAGCCAAGTAGTGTCAGTGAAGGCCTCCTGGAGAGCTAAAACTCCCATCCCTGAGCAGCAGTAA